TAGGAGTTGGGGGTATTTAATGTGTGTTGTAGTTCTAGCCACCAGAGGCTTCAATTTCCTGCCATGTCCTGTAACAATTTTTTTCTTCTCATCTATTACTTTTGGAATTCTTTAAGAACCATTTAGTACAGTTTATGTCTTATAAGTATCTCAGTTGTGATGTATAGGGCAAGTAGGTGTTGGCTATACTCTGGTGATTGATCTTGTTATTTTACTAAATGTTGAGAAGTTTTTCTTAACACTACTGTTTCCCCTTAAGTATGATAGGGAGGCTAGAGGGAACAACTTATCTAATTGCATTCCCTCAGATATGTCAGACCTTGGTGGTGTTTATATTCATTGCAGTGCAGTTATCTATCATGGGGAATGTTCAGTGTTATTTACACACTATCCACCCTGTCTGAAAAGAAAGATTTGTCTTGGATTTTCATTCTAAAATATTTATGTCATTTCCTGAGGTAAAAACTCATGGAAATGTAGCGGATCCCTAAGTCTGAGACTTCAAGTGTTTGAACTCTCAAGGTAGTACATATTCAACAAAATTATTTTTAAGTACCCTTACATTCAAATTAAGACCCTGGTATTTAACTGGAAATACTATCTTGTGTGTGTCACTTGAGCTCACCACTTTGTTTCTTTATCAGAAAAAAATAATAACAAAAACAATTCCAAACAAATATGGTTATAGCAGAGTTGAATAACAGGGCAGATGGGAACAAGTATACTATAGATTCTGACATGCATCTTTCAGGCATAAGTATTAGCATAACATTATAGCATAATTATAAGCATTAAGTATTTGTTTTTCCTTCCATTGAGTTACTTATATTTGAAGATAAAGACTGTTTTTAGTTCAGGCCATTGTAAAGCATTTATCCTACCAGTGTAGAAAGTTCTTATTAAAAACTATTTGCCATTCTTACAGTTCTGGAAAAACTCCCCTGGAATGGGGGTGGGGGAGGATTGTCTGCTTCTGTAGGGATTGCCTTCTTCTATAGAGCTTGAAAAGGATTCCATGGTTCATTTATTTTGTCTCTTCTTTCAACCTCAGCATCCTTTTAGAAAATTCTCAGCCTTCTGGAAAAAAAAGCCCATAAAAGCGTATTTCCTTTTGTCTAAATCTAATGCAGGTATATCGGCACCACGTATGAAGGACAGTGATTTTGTTTCTAATGATAGGCTACATGTCCTCAGGGGATCATAGAAAAATATACTGAACCATTTAAAGAGAGGTACAAGAATTCATTTCCTTTTCTTTTGGGGCATCATAATTTGAAAAAGACATTGATAGCACTAAGGTGTGGCCAAATGGTGCAATTGAGCTGATGATCTAAGCATCTAGAAGTCTAGAAACCTTCCTGGATATCAAACCTTGCATGGCGCAGCTCTGTGTATTGAAGCTATTTTGTTGCATGATATCCTAAATTCTTTTGCAGTTGTTCTGGTCCTTTTAGTTTGTGAAATCTCAAGTTGCCAAGAAAAGCTGAGCCATTTCTTTTCAGCTAGTGTTAGTTCCTCTAAGTGCCCCTGGAGCCTTGGTATGAGCACTTGTGCTCTTCTACTGTGATTTAGAAATATGGGGGGCTGGGAAAAACCCACAGATGTGCTAAGTGGATTCAGAGCTATGGACGTGGAAACCAAGAACTCCCTGAGGTTTTATCTCCACCCTTAGCCCCTTTCCCCTGCAATGTGTGTTGTTGCTATTCTTTCTGCAGAAGAGTTCATGATCTTTTATCATTTTCATTCTCTATTGATCCACCAGCAGTGCTAGTAACAGAAACTTTTAAAGAAAGGTTATTGACAGTAGAATCTGTGGGATTTCCCTGCCATATCTCTTATACATTAGAGAATGAATAATACACTGTGTGTTTCCGATAAAAATTACCTTGCAGAGAATTCATTTTACTATGGCTTAGATGATATAAATTCCCTGGGATAACATACTGCAGCGATCAATCTTCTTCCTTCTCTTACTTCATCTCGTCCCCAAAGCAAAGAGGGAAATGTCCCATCTGCTTTATTGCTCTTAGGACTGTAATTTCTTCTAGTACATTTTCATTCATAGAGGAGAAACCAATGGGAACATAGTGACTTTAAAATAGAATTTAAGCCAGGTGCTAGTGGCTCACACCTGTAATCCTAGCTACTAAGGGTGAGATATGAGGATCACAGTTCAAAGCCAGCTAGGGCAGGATTGTCTGCCACAGAATCTTACCTCTACTTAGTCACCAGAAAACTGGAAGTGGCACTGTGGCTCAAAGTGGTAGAGTGCTAGCCTTGAGCAAAAAAGCTTAGGGACCGTGCCCAGGCCCTGAGTTCAGGCCTCACAACTGACAAATAATAACAACAACAAGGGGAAAAACAAGTCGTTTAAGGATTCAGGTGGACCTGTTGCAACAATGAGAAGTACAAGTTGTCATGTCAAAAACAAGCTTTACAACGTCGGTGCTGGGGCAGGGGGGGGGAAGGATTGGGTGGGGGGGGAGAGGGGAGGCTGGGAAGGGAGGTGAAGGGTAAACAAAGGAGGAGGCTGCAATGCTTGGTAAGAAATGTATGCATTATCCTGCCCATGTAATTTTAACTCCTCTGTACAGTATGTTCACAAATAAAATAAAATTTAAAAAAAGAAATAACAACAACAGCAGCAGCAACAATAATGATAATAAATAAAAATTTTAAAATAGAACTTAACTTTCCACAAAGATTTTTTTTAGAATATACATATTGGGTGTAAGACAAGAGCAGTTAGAATATAACTGTCTCTAGGACATACTAGTTGGCCCATTACTTGTATTTCATAGCTGTGCCACCTTGAGAAAACTATCTCCATTCTACTGATACTCAATTTTGGCATCTGGCAAACCAGGATTACTATTCTAAGTTCAAAAAAAAAATAGCTGTCACAATATAAACTCTAAACTATATAGCTTGTGAATATTTTAGTGTATCATTTATCTTAATCTAGCCATAACTTACCTAACTTTGGAGCACAAAGCCTAGTATTAGGCTCTAATAATAGATCATTGATAATAACTAACAAATGATTGCTAGCTGCCATTAAAATTTAAATCTCCAAATTCCAGATGATTTAAAATAGTCATTGTATATGATGGTGGCTCATGCCTGTGATCTTAGCTACTTAGAAGGCTGACATGTATAGGATCACAGTTCAAAAGTCCATGGGACTCCATCTCCAAAATAGCCTGCAAAATAAAGCCAGGCTGGAGGTGGGGTTTTAGTTTTAGAGCTAAGCAAATGAACTGACTAGAAGTGAGGCTATAAGTTCAAAACCCCAGTAGCATCCAAAACAAATCCATCACTGTTTCTTCAGATTGGTTGGGAAGATTTTTCTGGCCCTGTTCAACTTTAAGAATAAAGAATTGAACATACAATCACACAGGGAGCTAGAAAGATTGTTACAAGATAGATAATAATCATTCTAGGAATTGCTTAATGTTCTAAACAAACAAAACAAATGAACATACAGTAATTAGTGGAAAGAAAAACATTTTCCCTACGGTGACACAGTTGCAAACCCAGTAATGGTTACATGTTACCTGCCTTGCACTCTATAGACAGGAATACAGCTTCAAAAAACAACAACAACAAAAAAAAACTTTTGTGGAAAGTGAAGTTCTCATTGAAACTCATAGTTTTTCTCCTGTGGGCTTGTGAGCGCTGTAGAATTTCACTGGCATCTGTTCAACATGGTTGGGCCTAAGTCTGAGGAAAGAATCAAGGGAGCATGTTCTACCTTGTGAGGAATCTAGGGCAGATGGTGGTGGCAAAACCTAAAGCTCACTTCCGCCACAGATGACTGAAATGTTGGACTAAATGATCCCAAGGAACGGCTGGAATACAGTCTCTCCAGTAGTGTGAGAGTGGTAATAATTTGATTTTTCAAGGCTCGTGAATTGGCATCATTTGGACTACATCTGCCATGGGCCTTTGCATTTTGGAAGGAACTGGAGGAAGCTAATTTTAAGCATCTCAGTAGACATAGTTCTTTTTGTTTGTTTTTCCACTCTTCTATTTCTTGAGAAAACCTAGTATAGTGGTTGTTTTTCCTTCCATCATCTAAAGGTATATATCTGATTATTTGAGATCACTTGTGGCTAGAATACTGCAGTCTGGAGAAAATGAGATGTTCACGTTACTGCTTTCTCTTCCAAGCCAATGACACTAATTGGGCTTCATGCCAAAGGGTTGGGGCAACAGATGTAACCGTGAATTCATGGTCTCGGTAGAGTAACCAGGCTTCCAAGCTGTGTGGATGCTGAACTTACCAAGGATGCGTAGCACTTCTTTTTTTTTTCCAGATGTTCAGCTTGCAATTATTTTTAATATCAAATGTATAGATAAGTGCATGGATTGTTTTTGTTCCCATCCAGATACACATCCTGTAGATAAATTCCATTTTCAGGTCTGGCAATCTGTCCGATAGCTTGCTTTAAAGTTATCTGGAGAAAAATCTACCAACAATGATTCCATTCGTGATAGCTTTTATTCTTGGCTAATAACTTGCCTCTCCTCTGGGGGCCAAACAGGTTTTGATTGTTATGTGAGTTTATACAATATATACTTTTTTGTCAAATATTTATCTCTGTCTAAAGATGAAGAATCCTGCAAAACAATTTTTGAAAAGGGATAAATCAATAAGAGAATGAGAAATGACTTCTCATTTAGCCAATTTTTAATCGATGCTTTCATGAAAGGCTGAAATGTTAACTCAATCCTGGCTTTTGTCGTTGGAAATATAATTTGTGCGTTTAACAATTTATATGCACGTCAACGTTTGGACTTGATATTCAGAAAGGAAAATTGATTTATAGGCACAAACAACTGCAGGCATATCGGTAATGGCAGAAATGAATGTGAGTCAATTATTTAAGGCAAATAAGACCTTAATCACTAAAGCAATAGAGTCTATCAAATTCAATGATCCCTTGCATTTTCATGCTTTAATTTGTGGGCATTTTTTTTAATCTCCTATTTTACAGAGGCCTTTGAGATTGTTGTTCGCCATGCCAAGAACTACACCAATGCCATGTTCAAGAACAACTACCCAAGCCTGACCCCTCAAGCTTTTGAGTTCGTGGGTGAATTTTTCACGGACGTCTCTCTTTACATCTTGGGTTCTGACATCAATGTGGACGATATGGTCAATGAATTGTTCGATAGCCTGTTTCCAGTCATCTATACCCAGATAATGAACCCAGGCCTGCCTGAGTCAGCTTTAGACATTAACGAGTGCCTCCGTGGAGCAAGACGTGACTTGAAAGTATTTGGCAACTTCCCCAAGCTTATCATGACCCAGGTTTCCAAGTCCCTGCAAGTCACTAGAATCTTCCTCCAGGCTCTGAATCTTGGAATCGAAGTGATCAACACTACAGATCACCTGAAGTTCAGTAAGGACTGTGGCCGTATGCTCACCCGTATGTGGTATTGCTCTTACTGCCAAGGACTGATGATGGTTAAGCCCTGTGGTGGTTACTGCAATGTGGTCATGCAAGGCTGTATGGCAGGCGTGGTCGAGATTGACAAGTACTGGAGAGAATATATTCTGTCTCTGGAGGAGCTGGTGAATGGCATGTACAGGATCTACGACATGGAGAACGTGCTCCTTGGTCTCTTTTCCACAATCCATGACTCCATCCAGTATGTCCAGAAGAACGGAGGCAAGCTGACTACCACTGTGAGTACTAAGTCTACAGGTTTTGGAGGAACTGGACCTGATCCGTTGGGATGACCTACCCATCAGCAGGTGCTCATAGAGAGAATAATAGCAGAAAAATAAAGGGTGTGCAAGTATGGCAGATGGACCAAATGATCTCAGAGCTAGACGGTATATTAACACCACAGGTTATAGAGTCACAACCCCTGACTTTGCATCTTAGCTGCACCTACTTTGTTGCTGTGGGCCATTGGGGAATGATTTCATCTTTATGAGCCTCATTATTTTTTACTTATTAAATAGAGACAGAAAGAACATCTTCTTGGGGGAATAACATGTGAAAGCACTTAGCATCTGTCTGTCACATGGTAGGTCTTCAATAAAGGTTACCTGTTATTACCAATATTTCGGCTATCATGATCTTCAGGGCAATCTTTTGGAGTGGAGGATATTATCTCCATGTTATGCACAGGAAAACTGAGGCTTAATGGACTTGCAACTTTCTTCAGGCCACTCAACTGTAGTTAGTAGAATAGCCGCAATTAAGAAACTGGCACGTCTCCCTTTTATTCAGTTATCACCACCTTTGCTAATTATGATTTCATTCTTGGGCCCTTAATCCTGTATGTCACATTATTACCATATTGGGTAGTGGCTTTAAAGTGAAGATACCTAGCTAGTGCTCACTAACTACACCTACATAAGAACATAGGCAAAGTTACTGTCCAAGTTCTTCAACATACATATTTATAGCCTTAGTTATAACCAGTCTAAGACTAATGAGATAGCTGATAGCAGAAGCAAAGTTCTGTGAGGCAATAGACACTGGTATTGTTCATCCAGCACCATAGGAGGTAGCCACTTTGAATGGGGAGCAGAACATCCATCCCAAAGACACCTGGCATATCTCCCTTAAGGTAATAACTAGTACGTGAGTGGCTGCTGGCTTTGTGGGAGGTGGTAGCAGAACTATTGAGTCCACTACTGTTGTAGAGCAAATACTGTATCTCAGGTGCTCTACTAAGTCAATGTACATAATATGACTTTGTAATCCCTCAGAGAGGTTCTAATATTGTTCCTCCTCTGTACAAGATGAAGTGAAGCTCTCCAAGTTAGTTAAGTGAGAAGAGCTGCGATTCAGTCCCAGCTTGGTTGGCCTGGTTGACTCCGGGTGTTAGTTTTTATGTAGTACAGCTTGTGTGTACTGTGTCTGGGCAGTTTCTTATCTGTCATGTGGACAGATCAGGCCAGTTAGCCTTGTCTTGAAACTCTAGAAGCAAAAAGCTATAGGGTGGATTGGTTTCTTGTGGTGAATTAATTAGGAACGATGACACAAGTGATACAGCCCTGTACATGACTATTTATGGAGCAGCTCCAATTGTCCCATTTCCATTGGTAACCATTACAAACCTATATACTAGGGAAATATTTTATAGTAAAATAAACAAAAAATGTCCTATGTAATGATAGTGTTTTTCGGTGGCTAATTATTCACTTGACTGCCTTATAATTTGAGACCAGATTCTGAAGCCTTGTGCAAAAGTAAATTGCACGGGACTAAAACAATGAAAAGTAAGGGCATTCATATGTTCATTCACTAATACTGATCAAGGACCGATTATGTATCAGACACAAAGCAAGGGTATCAGGGCTGTGGAGATGTCTTTAGTAAGAGAAAAGACCAGTGTCAAGAGTATTAAACATTGCTTGTCCTATTGGTTATTTTATGGCTGCACAATTGATCTTCAAAGTATCCATCCTCCTTTAATATTCTTATACACAAAAAGATGAGGTGGAAGCTGGTAAGAATTTAAGTACACTGACCCGATAAAGGTGTAGAGTATTTGGTAGACATGTATTAAGCATCTGGTTGTGTATGGAATTCTGTTTGACAATAGGTATTGAAAACCACCCAAGATACAGTGCTTAAGTCTTCTAAAAGGTCAATCTAACCAGACAGTGGTACTCACGCATGGAATCCTAGCTATTCAGGAGGCTGAGATCTGAGGATCATGGTTCAGAGCCATCCCAGGCAGGAAATTCTGTGAGATTCTTATCTCCAGTAAACCACCAGAAAACAAGAAGTGGCGCTGTGGCTCAAAGTAGTAGAGCACTTAGCCTTGAGCTGAAGAGCTCAGGGACAGCGCCCAGACCCTGAGTTTAAGCCCCATGACTGACAAAACAAAAGAGGGGGGTGGTCAATCCAGTTGGTAGAGAGACCTATAACTAAATACACTTCTCTAGAGTGAACACATCACCATCTTGTGAATGTGGGAAGGGCTGTGCGAAATTAGCTATTCTAATCCCATTGATTTCCAAATGAACGAACAAAAGTTCAGGGAGGTTTACCTAGAGCTAGATGCAGAATCCAAGACCGTCTGCTTGTTACAATCATATATTCTTTCTGCCATAGACTCTGGCCCCCAAGTAGACCCTTCACTTTAAAACCACCATCAGGATTTTTTTTTCAGAGACAAAGTGAACTTAAATTGGATAGCTATTTCAGGCTTTCCAACTTGCTACATCTTTTGGTGTATGCCCAGGTATATGTGTGCACATGCGCAGCATGCAAGTGGGATGAGGGAGCACCTTTTGTGTCATTATCATGCAGGAGGAAAGCCCGTGGCTGCCTAGAGGTGCTCAGTGATGCAGTCCCTTTCTGTTTGGGCCATTAAGGGCCTGATTGCTCCCAGCATCCAGCATGTTATGAGAGCATGAAGTTGGCCATCTCCTGGGAATGCCTGAACTAAACTAGAAAGCATATGTAAACTCTGCCTTGTTCCCGTTTTGTTATGATCACCAAGTCTAAGTAATACGTATCCAATGGTGGAAATTGGAAGTGGAGAGGTGGAGAGGTGGACATCACTGGCCCAGGCGTGTTCTGGACCAGAAAGGTCCAGAACCTTTTCAAGAAGTAAGGGAAAGTGAGGGCTTAGTAGATTGCAGAATGCTATTCAGGTTAACAAATACACAGAATGCCCCCAGAGCAAGAGCTGATTTGGAATGAAAGCATTAATGAGATTCTGCTTGCTGGCATGCAGTCACCTTCCTGTTGTGATAAAACAACAGAAAACCCTGCCAGTCCGCCCCCTCAGAGACTGCCTTAAAATATGATCTTTCTTTGCTGTGCAAGCATGGCCTTTTGTAGTTGTAGATGGAGGGCTGGAATCTGCCACACAGGGACTTTAGTCACTTATTTTAGGGGTCACCATCCACTCCAGTCCACCCCAGATTTTAAGGGTCATTTTGATCATTTAAGTGAATGTGGTGGTCTTAATTTGTATGTGTGTGTATGTGCGCATGTGCCTACACATGTGCATGCCTGTTGGTCCTGAAGCTTGAGCTGGGTAATGTCTGTCCCTGGCCTTTTTTGCTCAATACTAGCTCTCTACCATCAGCTTCGAACTGCCCCAACTGGCTTCAAACCAGGATCCTCAGATCTCAGCCTCTTAAGTAGCTAGTATTACATGTTTGAGCCACCATTGCTTGGCGTCCTTTGTCCTTTGTTGAGCCAAAGTCTCCTTATGTATCACAGGCTGGCCTTGAACTCGACATTCTCCTACCTTAGTCTCCAGAGTAGAAAGATTACAATTGTGCATCAGTGAATCTGTCTAAAGTGCCATTATATCTTCTGTCTCTCTGTCTCTCTCTGTCTCTCTGTCTCTTTCTCTCTCTTTCTCTCTCTCTCTCTCTATCGCTATCTCTCTCTGTCTTTCATTCTGTGGTACACGAATTTGAATTCAGGATCTTGCTACCATTTGATCTATGTCTCCAACCCTATTTGCTTTAAGTAGTGTTTCAATAAGGGTCTTGCTTTTTGCCTGGCTGCCCTTGCAGCCATGATCTTCTTACCTATACCTCTTAAGTAGCTAGCAGCATTGACACAGGCTGCCACATCTGGCTTGTCTGTTGAGATGGGGTCTTAGTAACTTTTTGCCTATGCTGACCTTGAATGGTGATCCTTCTGATCTCTTATCTCCCAAGGAGCTGTGGTTACAGGCATAATATATTGTGCCCAGCTGCCATCATCTCTTAATATTATTTTAGTGCAAAGAAATTGATAAAAAATACGAGTAAGTGTGAAATACAGATGTGAGTGTATGTGGAGGTGAGAAGAAAAAACACTGAGGGAGAGAAAAATTATATTGAAAAGATGAAAGAAGTGTTGACAAGAAGCTGTAACTAGCTTTATTTTGACTCTTTACAGACACAAACTAGGATACATGTCTTGGCTCCAAGTGACTATTAAGTCTTTAATACATAGTCTTTTATACTTGAATATAAATATTCTTATTGACTGGGGGCCAGTCAATAAGCTCACACCTGTAATCTTGACTACATAGGAGGCAGAGATCTGAGGCTCATAGTTCAAAGCTAGCCTAGGCTGGAAAGTCTGTGGGCCTCTTTGTCTCCAAATAACTACCAAATAGCCAGAAACAGAGATGTGACTCAAGTGCTAGAACATTAGCCTTGAGCGTAAGCAGCTCAGGGATAGCACCCAGGTGCTGAATTCAAGCCCCAAAGGCTGGCACAAAAGAATTCTATTCCTGCTAAGCTTATCAACACATTATTGAATTCCATGTTTTATTCTTTCTCAAGAGAGTACAGATATAAAATGGTTTATGATATACATACTTTGCACATTGTTCTTCCACCCAACTTGTTGAATGTCACCAAGTTGTTGAATGCTGGGGATGGAAGACAGGGTCTTGGACATGCTAGGCTCATGCTAGGCATGGGCTCCAGGACTCGGTCCCATCTCCACACTGCCTGCACAGTTTCTTTTCAAACTTCCACTGTGTTTATTCTGAAAATGACAGTCATTACCATCCCTCAATGTACAGAGGACATGCGCAGCCATTCATGTATAATTCATCCATATATTAAATTAGTAATAAGCAGCATGTTAGATGTTTATCCTCCCAGAAAGTTTCTCAACTTTCTAATTTTTTTTTTCATTTCATTTGGTGTTTTCAACCACCTACCCAACTAGTCGCTCATAAGACCCTGGCTAGGATTTG